CATATGTTTTAGAAAACAATAGCTATTATATTAAAAACATAAATTTTGTTATATTTTTAAAGATCTAAAATTAAAAGTGTTTTGTAGTGTTGTAGGAATAAACTGAACTTAGTTCTAGTAATTTAACTCATAATAAAGTTGTTTTTATTTAAATGCAAAAAAAAAGGTGTGGATGCATAAAAGTTGTAGCTTACATTGATATAATTTTATCATCTTTTGTTCAACAATTAATCAATGAAAATTGTCAAAATAATTTTTGTATTGTAAATCAATTAAATTAATTATGAATAAAACAGTCAAAAAATATATTAGGATTTCTAAATTTTTTTCAGTAACGTGTTAATCTGAAAACACCTATTAGGAAAATATTGCTAATAATAAAAAAAACTACTTTGCAATGTTTATCCATAACAAGCATTTATATTTATTAAAATTAAATTGTAAAATTTATTTAAAAATATGCTCATGCAAAAATTTTTAAACTAGCTATAAACTATAATATAAGAAATAAAAAAAATTGATTGTCAGGATCAATAATGTTTATTTATTGATAATTTGAAATATATTACAAAAAACCTATTACAAAAAACCTATTAGAAAAAGCTTTAACAAAAATTACTTAAAAACCAAAAACTAATAATAAATACTCTATAGAAGTTATTTGAAAACAAAAAATTTTTATTTGATTTTTTAATACTTAAAACTATATAGTTTAACAAATGAAAGCATCATATTCTTAAAAAAACAATAGGAATAATATCAAAACTATTTTTGATTATGCTGTTTTTCGCAACATCTAAAACTAAAAGCCCTGTATAGTACTATAGGAAAAAACATAACAGGGTACTAGTAATCAATATTATTTATTTAGTATATAAAATCAATATATTATGCATAGTCATAAAAAAGCTGTTATTTAAAAGTAACAAAAGGTGCGGATGTATTTAAATAATAGCTTACATTGATCTAAATTCATCAACTTTTGATATAGAATTGAAAAACTAATATTGTCAAAATAGTTAGGCTGTTATAAAACTACCAAAAGTAAAACAGTCAAAGTACTTGTAGTTAGTTTATGTTGAGCGAGACGTTAATTTAAAAACACAAACAGAGGGAATACTGTTTCTAATAACAAATCTAATTAACAAAGTTTATCAATTATCAAAAGTCGTTATCAACATAATTAATAGTAGTAGTTGTTTAAAAGTACTGCTTACCGAAAATAATTAAACTACTAAAAAACTATGAATAAAAGATATATATATATATATATATATATATATATATATATATATATATATATATATATATATTATAAAGGTAAACAATAATGTTTATTGATTGTTGATATACAAAAGAATTATTTATAATAATAATCAAAAAAAAAAAAAAAAGTTAACTCTAAAACACAACAACATTCTCTGTAAACTTATAATAATAAAAACTAAACTGTTTCAAAAATTAAAAGCATATCTTTATTAACAAGCAATAGGTAAGTTATTGATGATTTAAAAATAATTGAAAAAAACTATTAAATAAAATTCTAAAGAAGTAGTTACACATAAATTAATTTACAACAAATAACACAACACATAAAATATTTTTAAGTTTTAATATCGAAAACTATGTTGTTTTATAAACAAACACTTATATTTAATAGAAAGCAATAGATATAATATTAAAACTATTTTTAATAATGCTGTTTTTCACAACATATCAAGCTTAAAGCCTTGTGTTGTGTTATAGGAATGAACTCCACTGAGTACCAGTAATCATTACTATTTATTTATTATATAAAATATTATATTATGCCTCATCATGAAAAAGCTGTTCTTTAAAAGCAACATAAGGTAATTATATTTTATTTATAAATAATAGCTTAAATTGATTTAAATTTATCAACTTTCGTTATAGAATTGAATAATTAACATCGTCTAAATAGTTCAGCTCTTATTATTTTCATAAAATAAAATGGCAAAAGTATTTGTAGTTACTTAAACTATGTTGAGCAAGACTTTATTTTAAAAACACCAAGAGGGGGAATACTGTTAATAATAACAAAACTAACTAAAAAAGTTTAATAATTACCAAAATTTATTATTAACAAAATTAATAGTAGTATTTGTTTAAAAGTACTGCTTATCGAAATACAATTAAACTACTAATAAGCTATAATTAAATGATATATATATATATATATATATTGTGCGAATTGATGATTATTTATTTTTGATTTACAAAACAATTATTCATAATAAATAATATTAAACAAAATAAAACTCTTTAACACAACAACATTTTTTCTTCACTTTTAATAATAAAAACTATATTGTTTTACTGATAAAAGCATATATTTATTAAATAGCAATAGGTAATTTATTGATGATTAAAAAATGATTAAAAAAAATATATTAAAAAAAAAAAACTTTAAAAAAGTAGTTGAACAACACATAATTTTTTTTAAAGTTTTTAATAATAAAAACTATGCTGTTTTATAAATAAAGACTCATATTTATTAGAAAGCAATAAATATAATAGCAAAAATATTATCGATTTTGTTTTTTTATACAACTAAAAATAAAAGCTTTGTGCAGTGTTATAGGAATGAACTTAACCGAGTACTAGTAATCAAAATCATTTATATATCATGAAAATTCAATATATTATGGCGCGTCATGAAAAAGCTGTTTTTCTTTAAATTCAACGAAAGATAAGGATATTTAAAAATAATAGCTTACATTGTTCCAAAGTTAGCATTTTTTGTTATAATATTGTCTAATAATATTTTACTGTCTAGTAATATTTTTGTTATAAAATTGTCAAAATATTATAACTCTAATAAATTTATTAAATCTGATATAAATAAAACAGTCAAAATATATACTTAATTTATATTTAGCGAGACGTTAAT